GGGTCTTATTTTAGGATTGGACAATATTTATTCACAATTTGTTTTACCTACATACTATTTTGATTATAGTTGCAGATGATAGGAATATCATATTTTGCCTTTGATGTTCGTTGTTGAATGTCTGTATCCTTATTGTTATAAAGTGCTTGTTGGTAACTTCTTTCTAGATCCATTACATTATATCCCTTCGCTATAAAATCATTTTTCAATTTGGAGGCCTGCTCTTTGAAAGTGTACTCATCAGTGTAGTTCCTCCTTATACTTAAAAACTGAGATTTTGGGATCCCTTTAACCCCTTAAGGACCAAACTTCTGGAATAAAAGGGAATCATGACATGTCACACATGTCATGTGTACTTAAGGGGTTAAACCATAGGGGAAGTGACAGCTAGAAACCTCAATGAAGCTGTTAACATCTACTGTCTTAAAGTACATACTTGTTTTAATTAGATTATTTTAAATAAATATATTCAAATCTAAAAGGTTGACTAAAACTTTACTAAAAATGTACATCTAAAATTAGACCCCAATCATTTTAATTTAATGTATTTGTAAATGTCTTTAGGTTGTCCTCTGTGCTTTCCAGATGAAAAATATATTGTCTATATATTATATATTGGCGATAGGACACCAGGCTGTCCACCCAGTCATGCCTCTGATATACACATTGCCGTTCCCAATGAGCCATAAAAAGGTTGGCATAACTGGGTGCAAACCTGATGCCAATCGTCATCCCACAGGTCTGTAAAAAAAATAATCCCCATTGAACCAGAAATAATTATTTTTTTTAAATTAATTCTATGCCTTTGATGATAAAATGGACCTGTTCCGATTTAAATGTTTGGGAATTTATTAAAAAATATTCTACTGCTGCGCAGCCTCTCTCATGGGATATTACAGGGAGTGCAGAATTATTAGGCAAATGAGTATTTTGACCACATCATCCTCTTTATGCATGTTGTCTTACTCCAAGCTGTATAGGCTCGAAAGCCTACTACCAATTAAGCATATTAGGTGATATGCATCTCTGTAATGAGAAGGGGTGTGGTCTAATGACATCAACACCCTATATCAGGTGTGCATAATTATTAGGCAACTTCCTTTCCTTTGGCAAAATGGGTCAAAAGAAGGACTTGACAGGCTCAGAAAAGTCAAAAATAGTGAGATATCTTGCAGAGGGATGCAGCACTCTTAAAATTGCAAAGCTTCTGAAGCGTGATCATCGAACAATCAAGCGTTTCATTCAAAATAGTCAACAGGGTCGCAAGAAGCGTGTGGAAAAACCAAGGCGCAAAATAACTGCCCATGAACTGAGAAAAGTCAAGCGTGCAGCTGCCACGATGCCACTTGCCACCAGTTTGGCCATATTTCAGAGCTGCAACATCACTGGAGTGCCCAAAAGCACAAGGTGTGCAATACTCAGAGACATGGCCAAGGTAAGAAAGGCTGAAAGACGACCACCACTGAACAAGACACACAAGCTGAAACGTCAAGACTGGGCCAAGAAATATCTCAAGACTGATTTTTCTAAGGTTTTATGGACTGATGAAATGAGAGTGAGTCTTGATGGGCCAGATGGATGGGCCCGTGGCTGGATTGGTAAAGGGCAGAGAGCTCCAGTCCGACTCAGACGCCAGCAAGGTGGAGGTGGAGTACTGGTTTGGGCTGGTATCATCAAAGATGAGCTTGTGGGGCCTTTTCGGGTTGAGGATGGAGTCAAGCTCAACTCCCAGTCCTACTGCCAGTTCCTGGAAGACACCTTCTTCAAGCAGTGGTACAGGAAGAAGTCTGCATCCTTCAAGAAAAACATGATTTTCATGCAGGACAATGCTCCATCACACGCGTCCAAGTACTCCACAGCGTGGCTGGCAAGAAAGGGTATAAAAGAAGAAAATCTAATGACATGGCCTCCTTGTTCACCTGATCTGAACCCCATTGAGAACCTGTGGTCCATCATCAAATGTGAGATTTACAAGGAGGGAAAACAGTACACCTCTCTGAACAGTGTCTGGGAGGCTGTGGTTGCTGCTGCACGCAATGTTGATGGTGAACAGATCAAAACACTGACAGAATCCATGGATGGCAGGCTTTTGAGTGTCCTTGCAAAGAAAGGTGGCTATATTGGTCACTGATTTGTTTTTGTTTTGTTTTTGAATGTCAGAAATGTATATTTGTGAATGTTGAGATGTTATATTGGTTTCACTGGTAATAATAAATAATTGAAATGGGTATATATTTGTTTTTTGTTAAGTTGCCTAATAATTATGCACAGTAATAGTCACCTGCACACACAGATATCCCCCTAACATAGCTATAACTAAAAACAAACTAAAAACTACTTCCAAAAATATTCAGCTTTGATATTAATGAGTTTTTTGGGTTCATTGAGAACATGGTTGTTGTTCAATAATAAAATTAATCCTCAAAAATACAACTTGCCTAATAATTCTGCACTCCCTGTATAGTGTAGAGAGAACTGACGTCAGCAGTAACTAAAAATGATTCTTCTTTCCATTCTACACTTTTCAATACTTGTCAGATACTTCCTGTATCTTTAAGATAGCTCTGGGTTCCTTGTACTAATGGTTGCAGACATTTATTTATGTATTCTGAAAGTTTGCATGATATAGAACTGATGCCAGATACTATAGGCCTACTTAGGGGTTGGGTCGGATTTTTATGCACCTTTGGAAGGTGCTAAATCATTGGGATTTTGGGGAAATTTTTCTTCTAGATACTCAAATTTTTGTTTATTAAGTATTCACACTTCAAATCCTTTTATAAAAATCTATGGAACTTCTATTTAATTTCTTTTGTGTGGTCTCCTTTTAATGTTTTATGTTTGTTGGTCATTCCTTAATGTAATTATCCATGGTCATAAGGACAATCCTCCCCCCCCCCCTTTGTCCGCTGGTTTTATGACTATAGAACTGTCTTCCTGATATTTCTTCACAGGGGTCGTTGTCACTCAGGATGACCTAGAACACCCCTCATCTTTTCCTGTAATCAGGGTCAGTTCTTTGATTCTGGTTGACGTATTTGGTTCCTTCTATTTTATCTCCTGAGCTTGTATTCTCCAGACTGACCCCAGCTTCTGATCTTGGCTACTCTTCTTGTTTATTCTGACTTTTGGCATCCTCTGACTACAGCTACACCTCGACAATCCTTTTGCTTGTGCCCTTGTCTGCACTGAGAATTGGAGCACCTCTCCTGTCAAGCCCCAGTGCACAGATTCACAGCCCAGATGGCTTCTTACCTGGTTACCGTGGGCTGTGTTTATCTACAAGGGTAAGTGTACATTTCTGCACTTCAGACTCCCATCTGCAGGTAAGGCCCTGACAATTTCACACATGTTACCTTTCAATCACTCCTTCAGCCTCCTAAGAAAACAGCCACTTCTTCTTTAGATCCAACCTCACAGTTTTCTAGGATTCATTCTATACTATTTCGATCTATAGGGACACAAATAATGAAATTAAATGGCTTGATCTAAATAGTCTGTGACATTCTTAAACGGCTTAAGGATTGCCACTATCTGGCCTATAGATTCAAATTCCTATCTCCCCAGTGGACATGTCATTCAAATGTTAATTTCTGATAAGGAATGTATTGCTCTCTGCTGCTTAAGGATGTGTTCCTTCATTTCCAAAATGGAGCTCTACTGTGTCACACGAGTTTGAAGATGATGCTGTGACAAACCTGATTGTTCTTGATGCTCCTTCAACCTTTGTCTAGCAATGTTGTGGTGTAGAGGGGCTGGCAATCTTTCAACATCTCTCTAATTTTATGGCAAGACAGGAGGCTTCATATTTGCTTATCTTTCTTTACTGAACCTCCCAGCAATAGTGTAAAAACAATTCAACCAATCAGAGTGTATAACAGTATTATATGATATCATCAAACTCCTCCCAAAAACTCTTTCTTTGCCACTTGCCTCCCAGGTGAGTCTGCTCCAATTATATTGCCTTTTGGTTTTTGCCTTTAATGCTATATTTGATTTAATTTTCTTATTAATTTGTTAAATTTTATAGCACCTATATCTCTATTATCATTTTTAAATAATTTTCTGTGGTAATGTTTTGTTTATCAAACATTCATTCTCACTAGTTTCTCACACAATTTATTATCAGTACACAATACCCTTACTACATATAATTATAACTAACATGTTGGTTTATTTTTGTCTCTGAACAGTTTTAAAATTTTATCTCCATTGTTCCCCTTTAAAAATCGTCGGGGTTTGCCTTCGCGATATTATTACATTTGTGGCTGCAGTTTCCTCTTGATTCTGAGAGACCGCGGCTCACCCTTCGGTTTTTCACATCAGTGCTGCGGTCTCCAATTCCCAGGAGTCTGCGGCTCAATTTCGCACCCTTTCTTGGTTCTCGCCTTCTCGCATCTGCAATTACCTGATGCACTTCCTCCTTCCTTTTTGCTGGTGGCAGCCATCTTAAACCGCGGTTTACCTTGTTATTTAGACGCGATCGCTTCACCTCACGTCATATCCGGTAAGTATCTTATTTACTTGTTGCTCATAGCACCCTTTAAGTGCTGCCACCTTTTTCCAAATTATTCATTGTACCTATTTGATTTTCTTGACAGGAAAATACCTGCTTTATCTTATCATTATTAAATAAAGGAGGGCCTTGTGGGTGACCCCACCTTTTTCTTTGTCACTTGATTCATTGAATGTTGTTGTGGGTGACCCCTACCTTTTATTCACTTTCTAATCAATGTATGACAGGTGTCTCAACACCATTACTACAAGTGAGTGACCCTCACCTTATAATAATAAAATATATTATTCAAAGTGACCCCACACTTTATTAAATATTTTACAGACATACTCATAAAAGTCAGACTACTGAGTGGTGAACCCCACTTCTTATTGTTACAGTGGTACAATCCACTTATATAATTTACTGGTGTACCCCACTATATATTAGTAAAGAGGTTTAAAATAGATTCCTTTTCTACTCCATTCCAGAACACACCACCTACACCATTTCGGATGTCTGCAACAGACAACCTGGCATTACGCACAGAATTAAACAAACTGGTGGAAAAAGGGGCGATAGAAAGATCACCCTTCCCACATACCTTTCTAAGCAATATTTTTCTGGTCCACAAAAAATCCGGAGACCTGCGTCCAATAATCAATTTGAAAGACCTGAATCACTATGTCAGATATCGTCATTTCAAAATAGAGGGCATCCATCTCCTCAGGGACCTCCTTTGCGTGGGAGACTGGTTCTCCAGATTCGATCTCAAGGACGCATATCTCACTGTCCCATCGGGCTATTCTTCAATTCCTCTGGCAAGAGGAAATTTGGCAGCTCACATGCCTCCTGTTCGGTCTTTGTTCCACACCATGGTGTTTCACAAAGCTGATGAAACCAGTGATGGCGCTACTCCAATCACAGGGGATTCGTTCCATTGTATATTTTGACAACATCCTGCTAATGGCTCAAGATCCAGACCTTTTACATCAACAAACGGACATGACGATGGCCTTATTACAAAACCTAAGAAATCGGACCTGGAACCTTCTCAGAAGGTTCAGTTTCTCGGATACCTAATAGACTCCGTACAGGCGATTTTACAACTACCATCTACAAAGGTCAAGGCTATAAAGAAAGACATTCATTAATTGCTATCAGCCCACCAGATTCGTCTATGCGATCTGGCTCATACTATAGGCCTAATGTCTGCCTCTATCCAAGACATTTATCTGGGACCCCTAGATTACAGAGCCATGCAATGGCTCAAGACTTACTATCTAAACCGATCCATCTCTTACGACCAACTGATCTATCTAACAGATGAAGTCCGTATAGAACGTCACTGGTGGCTTCACAACATGGAAGCCTGGAATGGCAAAGCCATTTTCAGATCACAACCATACTTCATTCTGGAATCCGATGCCAGTATTTTGGGGTGGGGCGCTACGTGCGCCAAAATGTCCACCGGGGGACTTTGGTCCCCCTCCGAACAAGCACTGCACATCAATTGCCTAGAATTGATCGCAGGATCTTTTGCGATTTGCAGTTTCTCAAAAGATTGTTTCAATTGTTCACTAGTACTGCGCATGTACAACAACTCTGCAGTGTGTTATGTGAATCGGTTAGAAGGTTCCCAATCCAAATTACTGTCCGACCTTACCAAGGAACTCTACCAATTCTGCCTAGAGCGGAATTTTTCCATCAGAGCGGAAGATCTTCAAAGTAGTCGCAGATTGGTTCTCTCGTCATTGGAGGAACGTAAGCGACTGGCAATTGGATCCCAGCTTGTTCTATAAAATTCATTGTCTTCGCGGGACAGAGGCCTTTTTCAGCTGGCTCCCAGATCCTCCGGGCCTGGGCAGTCGATGCCTTCCTACACCCTTGGCCAGAGACAGGAGTTTATGCGTTCCCGCCTTTCTCCATGATCCAGCGCATCCTTTACCGGGTCAAAGCCCTAGTAGTGATGATAGTTATTGTCACTCCGCTATGGAGAGCCAAGACATGGTTTCCAACCCTGCTAGAACTGTCTGTGAATTGTCCAATTCATCGATCCCCCGACATCCTCAAGAGTCCAGCAGGGCACTGTCACCCACTCACCCTTCGAGGGTGGCTCCAGCTTGTAGCTTGGACCATTTATGGGGATCCTGGAATGTCTTGGGACTTTCGGAGACAGCTAAGGCCCTCCTATGGAACTCCTGGGCCCCAGGCACTAGACGAGCTTACCTTGCTGCATGGCAGACATGGGTCAGCTGGTGTTTGGAAAGGGATACGGATTCCTTTTTGCGGCACCTCTGACGATCATCCTAAATTTTCTGTCTACTCAATTAATGTTTTTAGATCCAATTTTTTTCTAGTCGATCTGTTTCAAACACATTCACACATTATCTGTCATAGGTTTACACCACAACACGCTAACCAAGAGTTTGATATACTCAACATCATTTTACATGAAACCTATTGAAATTGCTATCCCTAGTATGCATGCCATAAACTTGCATTCAACTAATATGAGAACCTATACTCATGTTTTTTTCTCTCTACTTCTCTTTAGTGTGAGAATCCCAACGCTTGTGATATATGGATTCATCAAACCTGTTGAAAGTTTACATGGATGACTACATCAGGACCTTGGATTGGTCACGGTTCATAGTTATAGTTTACATGGTTGCTACTCGAATATCGGCTACAGCAAGAAAGGGAACTTGGGAGGAGTTTGATGACATCATATAATACTGTTATACACTCTGATTGGTGAATTGTTTTAACACTATTGTTAACTATGTCTTTGCTGCTGGGAGGTTCAGTAAAGAAAGATAAGCAAATATTTGCCTCCTGTTAATAAAATTTTGATTATTCAGTCACTAGGGCTAGAATAATCCCTAATTGGCTGCACAATCTGCCAACCTCTGCAGCAGTTGTAAGTGCAGTTCTCACCACCAGATATAGAACATGGGCTGCATAGCACACACAATTGAAGTCCCCATACCTAATAGCTTTAACCAAATTTGTATTTTTGTAATTCCTTGAATATTGTACTAAGTAATATTTGGTGGGTTTTATTGTTGATTTACCTGGGGGACCAAGGCACCCCATTTATAAATTGTCTTGGTGGTGGCAGCATTAAAATAGTAATAGTTATATTATGTTTAAGTGTGGGTGGTGTTTAAAGGGGGATTTTGTCATTATTTCCGGTCTAGTGCAGACAAATAGTGTACTTTAACCCTTTCACCACCACAACTATGCAACTCTTGGAGTAGGGTGCATTCGTGACACACTCTGCATCCACTACACTAACACACTCTGCATCCACTACACTGACACACATTCTACATTCACTCCACTAACACACACACTCTGCATCCACTCCACTAACACACACACTCTGCATCCACTCCACTAACACACACACTCTGCATCCACTACACTAACACACTCTGCATCCACTACACTGACACACACATTCTACATTCACTCCACTAACACACACACTCTGCATCCACTCCACTGACACACACTCTGCATCCACTCCACTGACACACACACTGCATTCATTACGCTGACACACACACTGCATTCACTACACTGACACACACACTGCATCCACTACTCTGACACACACACTGTATCCACTACTCTGACACACTCTGCATTCACTACGCTGATACTCACACTGCATTCATTACACTGACACACAATCTGCATTTATTACACTGACACACACTCTGCATCCACTACACTAACACACACTCTGCATCCACTATGCTGACACACACACTGCATTCACTACACTGACACACACACTGCATTCATGACACTGACACACACACTGCATTCATTACACTGACACACACTCTGCATCCACTACACTGACTGACTCTGCATTCACTACACTAGCACACTACATCCACTACACTGACACACAATCTGCATTCACTACACTAACACACTGCATCCACTACACTGACACACTCTGCATTCACTACACTAACACACTGCATCCACTACACTGACACACTGCATCCACTACACTGACACACACTCTGCATTCACTTATTCACTAACACACTCTACATTCACTACACTGACACACTCTACATTCACTACACTAACACACTGCATCCACTACACTGACACACTGCATCCACTACACTGACACACACTCTGCATCCACTACACTGACACACACTCTGCATTCACTACACTGACACACTCTGCATTCACTACACTAACACACTGCATCCACTACACTGACACACTCTGCATTCACTACACTAACACACTGCATCCACTACACTGACACACTGCATGCACTACACTGACACACACTCTGCATTCATTACACTAACACACTCTACATTCACTACACTGACACACTCTACATTCACTATACACTAACACACTGCATTCACTACACTAACACAATTAATCCACTACACTGACATACACTCTGCATTAGCTATTCACACAGCATCCACTACACCAATACCCTGTATTCACAGCCCAAGCACTACAACCACCACACATTCAAACACTCTGCATTCACTATACAGAGACACTGCATCTAATATACACACTACTACATCCACTAGAGACACTGCATCCACTAAACAAATTGCATCTAGTACACACAAGCACTACATGCACTACACAAAAACACACGACATCCACTACTCCAACACACTCTGTGTTCACTATACACACTGCATCCGCTACACAAACACACACTCTGCATTTACTGCACAAACAGTGTCTAATACACACTCGTGTGTGGGCCTGGATGGGGGCCCACACCTTGTGCTTTGTCTGATGGCAGCCCTGATTACAGGTAATGACTCCGGTGGATCCACCCACTAACTCAATAAAGTAGGAGTATATGTACACATTAGCTAATAAAAAAAATGGAAACTAAATTTAAAATTTAAAATGACAAAATAGTAAAATATAGGGTAAAAGAAGAAAATAAATGAATCAATCTAAAATGTATGAATATTAAGTCCACTTGCTAGCTATGATAGATATAGATGATCCTTAAAGATAATTATGAAAAATATCAAAAAAGAAAAGGCAACAAAATTGCTGAAAAGGTTGGATCTCACCCCTCTATTAATATCATCAGTTCTGATCAAATGGATAAGTCCATGGGGACACAGCAGGCAGTCACCTGCACCTTATTCTGAACCCAGGACTACTGCTGGACTCCAGCGACCTTCCAGGGATCATCCAGTGATTATCTCCAGCATTTATCCTGCATGAACTTATCTTTTTAATCATTACTGATGATCTTAATAGAGGGGTGAGATCCAACCTTTTCAGACATTTGACTATTCTTTTTATATATTTTTCAATATTATCTATAAGAATTTTTACTTTTTGTCATTTTTTTATTAGCTAATACATATGCTCTTACTTTAATGAGCTAGTGGCTTGATCCACCAGAGTCATTACCTATTAACTTCTTTCTGTGTATCACCTGTTGATTACTTACTGCTTTTTCGGATGAATTTCCAGTAGTTATACTACATGGGCTGTAGGTATAGATTGGTGATTTATGGGCTTTATAAGTGTACGTAGTAACTCAGTTTTTTTCCCCTTCCATTGTAATGAAAATATATGTTTGTCTTCCTTTTTGCACATATTCCAAATATACTTTTGTTGCATCATTTTGAGTGCAGTATTCCTTTAATTATAAAATTATCTGTTAGTCCACCTATTGTACAGTGCTATGGAATTTGCTGGAGTTATATAAATAATTAAATCATAATACTAAAATGGGAAGAAATGTTCCTGCCGAGCCCCAACCCATGGCGGCTGGTGAAGGCTCTAATAAAATATTTATGGGGGAGTAGACATGCCATTGTTTAGCCACCCTAATATGCCAATAATTAATATCCTTGGTGGCTATAGGTGCACAAATTGTTTCCCTCTTAGAATAACTTATCACTACCTACCCGCTCATCCTAAAAATTAGGTGGGTCAATAAACTGAATATATATAATATAAAAAATATACTTACTATCCATCTTCTTTCTTGTAAATCTTCTTTCTTCAGCCCCTCAAAAAAGTAAAATGGGAATTCATAATACCATGACAAAACTATTAAAAAAAAAACCCCACCAGATTTGCAAAAAAATTAATGACAAAAATAAAACTCCAGATGCAACAAAATAGATGTTCAAAAATTAAATAAGAATTCCTATGTACAGACATAATCCTGGAAAATTAAGACATTTCAAAAGCAGAACAATTAAAAATCTTTTAAAATCAACATTGATGCCTTATACTGCAAAACATATAAAGGTTTTTATAGACTGTGGTCTGCTTGACATCTCATAAAATGACAATAGCATAAAGATAAAAACATGTTTACTTGTGTACATAACAGGTCATCTTTCAAAACTAAAGACATTACATTTCTCCTGTATGTTCATGTATTATTCATTCAATATTTTAAATCATGTGTTACAACTGTGTACAAAAGTTGACGCCTGAAAATTCAATAATGTCTTTAATAAATTCCTGAATCTTAGTTCTGGGGTTGTACTGTACATTATTATTGCAATTATGGATTGCATGACTACTTTAATGTATAACTCAAAACAAAATGACCTTTTATCAATTGTTTAAAAATATTTTTAAAATCCTTATTCTTCAGGGTGTAAAGAAGAGGATTCATCATTGGAATAAGTATAATATATAAAAGGGCAAAAAACTTGTCCTGTTGTGGAGAATACGTAGATGCTGGTCTCATATACAAACTGATCATTGTTCCATAAAATATAATAACACAAGTTATGTGGGAGGTGCAGGTAGAAAAAGCTTTATTTCGACCACTTGCTGATTGTATATTTAGGATAGTAGAAATAATAAACACATAAGATATCAACGTAAGTGTAAATGCACTGACACCCAGGACAGTCCCATAAATATATATACATAACTCAACAGGAAAAGTATCACTACAGGTAAGTTTTAGCAATGGAGTTATATCACAGAAAAAGTGGTCAATGTGGTGAGAACGACAGTATGAAAAGTTAGCAATTAAAATAGTATGTGCTACAGGATCTAATAAACCCAAGACCCACACTGCAAATACAAGTCGAGCACAGAGCTTTGGACTCATTACAATTAAGTAATGAAGAGGGTGACAGATTGCTACATAGCGATCATAAGACATGGCAGCCAATAATAAGACTTCTGCACCAGCAAAAGATATGAAAAAATACACCTGAATAAAGCACTCTAGAAAGGATATGGTCTTACACTGAGTGAGGAGCATAGCCAACAGTTTGGGTAGAATGGTCGAGGTGTATAAGGTATCAATGACTGATAGATTACACAAGAAGATGTACATGGGTGTGTGTAAAGGAGAGAACAAAACTATAGTTACAAAAATGATAAGGTTACTGAAGACTATGATGAGATACACCGATAAAAATGTTATAAAAATAGGAAACTGTAGTTCTGGCGAGTCTGAAAAACCTTCAAAATTCATTTGGAGTGGACTCATTTTCTGACATAATATCCAGTCTCTAAGTCTACAAAGAAAGACACAACGCTGTTTAAAGTGGATCAGTCATTTGTGTCTCTTTTTCCTGTTACATTCACCTATAGAAACTACTTGTATTTTGTGCTTGTAGATTTTTTCAAAACATTTATTATTTTTGAAGGCATTTCTAAGCTTCTGTTTTATGACTGTAGCTTTTCCTTGTGTTTTTTTTTTTTTAAGTAAACCACACCACAGCAAATTTAGTTTTTTACTTGCAATTTCTAAATATCTTTGCAATATAAGCCTTAAAAACCTCAATGAACTTCTTTTAAAAAAACTCATTAATATTTTTGTCCATTATTATAGTTGTCATTTTTTCTTTTTCTTTATTTTATTTTAAGTTTTGATGAAAGTCTGATATATATACTTCCAACCTTCTTATCAATATTTTTTACTTTCATTTTTAAATTAAGATATTAGTTGTTACAATATGGTATTTTTTTTTATATTTATCTTCTTAACCTTTCTACATTGATTTCATATTTTACTAAGGTATCTGCTGCCAATGGATTTCCTGTAAGATTTAAAATCCATTATTTGATTTTTGTTTAATTTTCTATAGAAATTCTGTATAATAAAATTCTATATCTTCTCCTGTCTAATTGATCTGTGAGGCTTTTACATAATAACAAAATAATTGTAAACGTAAAAGTGACATTATATATACTATATAATTTAATATAAGTTTCCTTCCACACATATTTTATTGCCTATAATAAGTTACAATATGCTATTTTGTTATAATATCAATATTTGTTATCCTTTTTATCCTTTCTACATTTATTTCATTTTACTGTATTTTTTATAACATAAACTGATTTATTTAGAAGTTGCTGGTAGGCTCTTGTGTCTGTAATATGCCCTTAAAATGTTAGATTTTTTGATCGTGGGGAGGAAGACGTGTCTTGATCGAGCTCCTCTCTAAAATTGGCAACAAAAGCATTTTCAGCCTCACGCAGCTCGATTTGATTAACACCCAATAACTTACCAGACCCTCAAACTAGCTTAAACCCTGTGCAGCAGTCAGCAACTTGACAAGAGCCAACTTGCTACAATAACAAGATCATGCAGCCTAGTGAAAGAGGCGGCCAATCTCCAGGTTTGCAGCCACCCAGCAACTGTCAGCATTGAGCAGGTGCCCGGTTATCCCCCCCTTGGACTGGGGCATGATTCTGGTCCACCCTCGGAAAGCTAGGTGTAATGAGAAAGCAAGGTGAATCCATATGTTTATGTTATTAATTTCAGAGTATCTACAGGAATTATTCCTGTTTAAGCATGCTACATTATTTGGAATATTTTCTTTTTCCTTCCTCAAACTTTGATCAATATATGTGAACCTCCACAGGAAACTATTATGTTTTATTCTGTTTAACAGTATAAGGTATTAAATAACACTGTCTACACTATCTCATTAGCCTGATAGCATAGTGTCTGTCCAATGCTTAGACATGTGTACCTTGCCTGAATATGTTAGGTAGTTTGTTCTACTCTTCAGATGGCTACTGTCTACTCCATAGTGAACACAGCCTGTTTACTACTATAATGACTAACTCAATCTTCTCGTTAAAAACAATGTGCTAATATGTGATGATGGCTATATGAACACTTACCTTATCTGGCAAGTCAATTCATTGCAGCCCTTTTAGTGCACACTATGTCATCTCTGTTATTAACATGCATATAAAAAATAAAGAAATATAAAGTAATGGCATGAGCTGATAAAAAAAAAAGACAAAAAGTTTATTTTTTTATGCTTATTTTTTTTTCTTCTTGCAAATATTTTGATATTTTCAATGAATGATAATAAAAAATACAGGTAAAGGTGGAATCATAATTAAAGTGACCCCTCCGAGCACTCTTTCCTAATATGGTTAACAGTAAGGGCCCATGCACCATGTCTGCTACTAATAACTATAGACATTTCCAAATTGCTACAGCTGTTAGAAATACCTTACTCAAATGTATTCCAAAAGCAAGAAGTCTTGTACACAGTGGTGGAAGTACAAGGGTCACTTAAGGGTCAATGAATGAATGGGACTCTGGAGTTCTACTTGTTGAAAGGGCAAAGTAAGCAGATAATTTTGTAAGGAATCTCCTGGTTAGATTCACACAGTAATATGCTCACAGCAGGAACCGTAACACATTTTCCTTCCTTTATCTCATCATACAACAATGCAGATCTTAGAACCAGTAAGAAATTCAGTTTGAAATTACAAATCAGATTTTCTCTCTATTTACTTCTTAAATGATATTTGATCTCATCTCATCTGTATTTCAGCCGTAATTTTGCAAGTTATTTTTCATATTTGATATTGAAAAGTCTCCTTAGAACTGTGGGGAATAGCATTGAATTAGACTAATTTTAGAAGTATCACAACTTAGTAAAGTTTGCAATTGCATTGTCACAGAAGACAACTGTGAATCCTGGATCTGGGTTGCCAACAAAAGCGGATTATGTAACTTGTTAGAGGGTCTCTGTGTATCTATTTCTACACGTTAGTTACAATAAGTAAAATATACTCAGTACTTACATAGAGTGAATATGCCTCCATATTGCTTCACTTATCTGAAAAGTCTATTAATCGCAGCCTTTTAGTAGTGCACACTATGCAATCTCTGTTATTAACCTGCACATTAAAAATAAAGAATTATAACGTAATGGCATGAGCTGAAAACTTTCCTTTTCTTTTATGCTTTTTATCTTGCAAATATTTCACGGTTTTCAGTAAATAGTAAAACAAAAAAAAACTAAACAAGAAACTACGTAAAGGTGGTAATATAATTAAAGTAACCCTCCTAGCACCCTATCCTGATTTGGCCCACAGTAAGTGGCAGAGAAGACACCTGAATCCTGGATCCGGGTTGCCATCAAAAGCTGATTATACAAGTTGTTAGAGGATTCCTGCATATCTATTCCTATACATTAGTTACAAAGAGTAAAATGTACTCAGTACTTACACAGAGTGAATGTATCTCCATAATACTTAATAAAGTATGTAGATTCATCTCTCAACACAAACGTTCTGCAGATGATTGTGAGAGTTTTTATTCTGCACTTTGAGGCATACTGTGTGCTTGTGTCCCTATGCGCACACTTTCTGCTGGGAATAGGAGGCACCTAAATATAATTTTATATGAGGCTTCTCAAAGAAACTCTGTATTTGGTTATATGTATTAACTGTTTCTAGTAAAAGGTGTTAATGCATGAACTGTCTTTTAAAGGGTTACTCTAGAAACCATAGTAGTTGATTAAAGATGTGCTCTGAAATAATTTCCATTTGCTTCATCATTCCTTCAGATGTTTTTTGTTTTAAATTCATCCAGTAACTGAGAAGACTCTTTCTCTCTCTCTCTCTCTCTGAACATGAGTGTGTGTGCATGATAGCATCTCTTGTGCAATCAGCCTAAGGCCTGTTCCAGTAATGAAAAGACCCTGTAGTAGGAGGCAAAGTAGGTTTACCAATTCAGTGGTACTACTCTGGTATGATGGGACTTGACTGGTTCCACCAGTGTTAAATTATGTTAAATGCTCACCCTAGTTAACATGTCCCAAGCACTTATTGTGTATATGCATGCAAGTAGACTTGCGATTGTATTTGTAATCTTTACAAAAGACTGACAGCGACTCATTTTTTTTTATTAATGTACATCTGAATTATATTTTTACATCAATTTACGCCTTTAGCGTATTTGCTCTGCCTGTCTATTGACAGGTACAAATTTCAGACTTGGGGATTTCCCCACTATGTCACTCCACACCCATATGGGCATACTTTTTTCATTAGACTTTGGTGTTTAACTCGTGCTTGTCCAATATCCCTGCATTTTCAGACCTTGGATTGGTAGAATAGGCGTAGTTGATTGTTGATTCATAAAAGCATTACATCACTATGTAACAAATCATTGATTCCACTATTCCCTTTCCTACAGCTCTGTGATTGAACTCATTCAATTCAGCTAATCTTCTCAGGACTCAGGTTAAATATAAGGCTTGAGGGTGTTTGTTTTCAATTTCTTTCACCTTTTCAAACAGTAAGAATTTTATTTCAGTTTTTTTCTCCTTTTCAAGTAGTGAGAATTTTATTTTTTATCTTGCAAATAAAAATAGTGTTACCTGCACACTATCCCAAATCCCTGTGCATATTTAAATAAATGGAGGTTATATAGTAACTCCAATGGCCATTAGATGTAAGCCCACCTGCCACATCAAGGCAAATCTCTTTGGTGGGTTTTACACTAACAATGCACATTACTTCCTTCAGTAGTGATGCACTGAACAGTTCGCTGGCGAACAGTTCCTGGCGAACATAGTGTGTTCGCGTCCGCCGCGGACGGCGAACACATGCGCGGTTCGATCCGCCCCCTATTCGTCATCATTGAGTAAACTTTGACCCTGTACCTCACAGTCAGCAGACACATTCCAGCCAATTAGCAGCACACCCTCCCTAGCAGACCCTCCCACCTACTGGACAGCATCCATTTTAGATTCATTTTCAAGCTGCATGCTTAGTGAGAGGAGGGAAAGTGTAGCTGCTGTTGATTAGATAGGAAAATGCATAGCTAGGTTAGGGTATACAGTGTCCACTACAGTCCTGAAGGACTCATCTGATCTCTGCTGTAAGGACAGCACCCCAAAAAGCCCTTTTTAGGGCTAGAACATCAGTCTGCTTTTTTTTTTTCTGTGTAATGTAATTGCAGTTAGTTGTCTGCCACTGCTGCCAGCTTATGTGTCAGGCTCACAGTGGATACTGTGCCCATTTGCCCAGTCAGTGCCACCACTCATATCTGGTGTCACAATAGCTTGCATTTAAAAACAAAAAACTTTTTTCACTGTTATAGATTGAATAGCAGTTAGTTGTCTCAAAGCGGGTGTGTCAGCCCTACAGCGTGTACTCTGCCAACCTCTGCCAGTTCACAGTGCCAC